TTACACTTATAACTAAAACTTTTGTGCAGTGGTTACGGTTTACTAGCAGGCTCAGCCATACGACGGTGCACATTTTCTTCGACTATCAGTCGCCACTTTTCCGCATACTTTAGCGACTATCTAGTCCGCATAAAATGGTCGTACCGGGTGCAAATTCAAATTCAGCATTGGTCAGCGGTAACAATCTCAAATAAACTGCAATACTTCATAGCTCTATTAGTTATAAAGTGTTCAGTGCTTCCACTTGCGAGGATTTTTCCCTGCACCACTTTGGTATAGATTTGTATTACAGTATGGTAGTTTTTCGCGTTTTTTTGCCTTCACTACGTTTCTGACCGGGCCAGTTTTACAATCACAAAGATAGAAGCATACAAGAAGAATTTTGAGCAAAGACTTGGGAGTAATATGGCTTTATAACACCGAGAAACGGGATTTACAACTTTGAAGGAGTGGGGAGCCTCAGACCTTGTTTATCAACACGAGCTCGTTTTGCTACTTTCATACAAAATCAACTCAAAATATACAAGAATTACTGTGACGAACTGTTCTCAGGAAATTTGAAGAAATGAAAGCAGCTACATTATGAACAAAAGATTACTGAGGTTAGTTTTAAAATACCTTGAGGCTACTTTTATAATGTAGCTGCTTCATTTCTTCAAATTTCCTGAGAATAGTTCGTCACAGCAATTCTTGTATATTTTGAGTTGATTTTGCATAAAAGTAGCAAGACGAGCTTGTGTTGATAAACAAAGTCTGAGGCTCTCCACTCCTTCAAAGTTGTAAATCCCGTTTCTCGGTGTTATAAAGCCATAATACTCCAAAGTCTTTGCTCAAAATTCTTCTTGTATGCTTCTATCTTTGTGATTGTAAAACTGGCCTGGTCAGAAACGTAGTGAAGGCAAAAAACGCGAAAAACTACCATACTGTAATACAAATGACAAATCTATACCAAAGTGGTGCAGGGAAACTCCTTGCAAGTGGAAGCACTGAACACTTTAAAACTAATAGAGCTATGAAGTATTGCAGTTTATTTGAGATTGTTACCGCTGACCAATGATGAATTTGAATTTGGAGTGAGAAATTTGAAATTGGAGTGAGAAATTTGAATTTGGAGTGAGAAATTTGAATTTGGAGTGAGAAATTTGAATTTGGAGTGAGAAATTTGAATTTGGAGTGAGAAATTTGAATTTGGAGTGATGAATTTGAATTTGGAGTGATGAATTTGAATTTGGAGTGATGAATTTGAATTTGGAGTAAGGAATTTGAATTTGAGGTAAGGAATTTGAATTTGATATCAAATTTATTAATGACGTTCCCCTTGTGGGCCACTGTAGCCAGCACTCTCCCCTTGACAAGTAAAATCGTCTGGCGTTAAATAAATAATAAAATAATCTGGCGTTAGGCAGAGTAAAATAATAAAGTGTGGCGCAATGAAACACAATGGGTTAATTTAATAAAGCAATGATGTGTATGCAGTATGTGCATGTATACTTTTTAGTATCCATGTTATACTTTAACCATCCTTTCCTTATACTTGATCTTTTTGACTGATTTATATTGAAAATATACAAAACAGTGTATTGCTAAAGTTATTTGCTCTTGAGGTACAGAAGCACATTGAATTTTGTTTTAAAATATATATGTAGGTCTTTGGCCAAGAGACGGAGGCCATAAACTATTGATCCCCAGCAGCATAGCAAGCCCGACGATTTAGTCCCACTATATCTGCAAATATTTTCGTGTTCATTGACTGTGAAAACAATCAATTTCTAAATAAATGAACGATATAAATAATTTTGAATTTGCATAGCGGGACTAACCCTATACTATTAACTCATTCTCATCCGGTGGAAAAGTAGCAATTTCACGTGGTGTTGTTTCAAATGCTTATATCTCTCAAACTATACATCGCACGGAAACAGAAATTGCACCGTTCGAAAGAGGGGGACTTCTGCTTTCCAACGATAGGTAGTGGAGTAAAATTTACATTTTGTGCTCACATGAAACAAATACCTTTATCAAAGGTCCTTTTTTATTGCTGCAACATGTTATCAATACAAATTTCCAATATTTCTTACTCTCCAAAGATAGTATGGCACCAAAATAAGTCTGTGATACCCACAAAAGAACACTCAAATCATGATTAGCAAAGTGTCTTTATTTCTACAATTACTACATACATTCTTAGATAATCATTACACCATTGACTTTAGTTATTAGTGTCATAACCAGCCTCAAAATTTGGTCATGCTATTCAAATTTGAAATAATCACTACTCATTTGTTTAGAAATTGATTGTTTTCACAATCTAGAACATGAAAATATTTGCAAATAGCATGACCAAGTGTTGTTGGACTGGCATCATCATAATTAGTAGTTATAAAAACGTAATGTTTTCCAAGGCGTAATGTTTGCTAAAGCAGTTATGTTTGCCAAAGCACATAATTGGATTATGTGGTGAAAATATAAATTTCCTTTATATTGTACTACAAAAGACCTAAGGCTGTAACCAAACTGATATCAGATCACCACGTCATACCCAAATCTGTTGCGATGAATATCTGGACTTCTTCCTGTGTAAATTTCAAAGTCGCAATATAACCATTAGGATTGTCTGCAGCAACTCACAGATTTATTTCCCACATAGTAGGTCATCTAGCTTTCATGAACTGCCTAACCCCCAACCTATTTCTTGATTTGACAGTGTGTTTGTCTGCAACAACAATATTCTGTAACGGCTGGTACAGTTGTTGATGCAGTTTATTGCTGTAGTCTTTAGTACAGGATCTACCATATTCACAAACGCCATAAGCGCTTTGTACCTAACCCGAGAAATTATGTCTATTGCCCACAGACCATGATATAAGGTTTTTACACTCCGATAATCTTCAATCTTACTGTCGACCTTTAGCAAACCTGCATATTATACTAAAAGGCAATCAACCTCTCAAGGTTGGTGGACTGCAAGACCCTTCTTTATTAGTATATGGGGATAACTTTTGAGTTATTTGTATGTGGGCATATGTATTGGTATGGCCAGGAAACTACCTCCAGAAGCATTCCCTTAGTAAAAAAGTTCACAGTTCATTGAGCCGAATGAACTCAAGCTCACAGTTGATCGAAATGGATCCCGGACATGTCAGTGAAGAGCAAAATCTGGGAGAACATTCCTAGTGTCAGGATCATCATATCCGTCATGTACTATGGGGCCTATATAGTGGGGATGCTAGACAGGGAGCTTTCGAAACCTTAGGTCCTAATGGCTAGGCTTCCCTCTACCTCTACTCATCCCCCTACCTTCCCTCTGGGTTGGTGAGTGGGGTTCTCGTGACTCATCAGAACTCTACTTTCCTGAGGCTATGAAACAGGAACAGCAGATAGGAACAGGATCAATATATTCATCAGTGCAAATAAAAACTTTTATAGACATGGTGCCACTTAAAATTATAATAAGAGCCAACTAGTAAGATA